ACAGTGTAGACTTCCCGGCTCAGGCTGGAGCCCAGCCATTGGGCCCTGCGAGGTGGTCAGCATCACAGCACCTATGTCCTTTTGTGAATCTAGCTCTTAGTCCCTCTGTGCCTCAGTTTCCCCATCTCTACAATGGGTATTATAGTACCGCCTGGCCACGCAAGGGTGTTGTGAAGAGAAATACATTAAAAGTTGTGAGGGGGTGAAATACTTTGCTGTGATGGGGGCCCTTGGAATAATGGCGTCTGCATCATCTTCTCCCTGGGCCTTCAAATCGCCCTCGGAAACTCCTTGAACTGATGCCATCTAACATTGCCCCTCAATCCAATTCCCCACAGACGTTTTCTTAGCCGCGTTTGGTGCAACGAAGTGAATCATTCTGGGTACAGCACCTGTCCAAGTGACACATTCACGCCGAGTTCCTGCGGCTCCGTTAATTCCTGCTCCCATTATCAGACCTCATTGGAACAGCAGGCTTTGGTCCAGCGCCGTAAAACGCAGTCGTGTCTGTGACCTTGGAATGAAAGGCTGGGGCGACCATTGGAACATCGGCCTCTGTAACAGCTCAGCAGCTTTGATTCAACGCACCAGCTGGGCAGTACCAAAGGTCATTAAAAGCTGCACAACGTGCCCACGGCCTATTCCACAGCTTCATCACCAGGCCGAGGGCAAAGTGCGACCTAGTGAATTAGCCAGTTAACAGAGGCTGGTTGGTACATTCCAATGTATTGGTGAGTTAACTATTGCATAGTTGGTCGTCTTCCCACATTGCCAAAGGCTTTCCGGGCAGACTCAGCTGCTGCAGATTCTCAGCTCTGCAGCGGGTCCTTTGGGATTCTTAGAAGTGAACTTACTGTTGTTAAACAAGGTGAAGGCTGGTGACCAATATGCTCTGCTCACAGAGCGCAAGTATCAGCAGTGGGATATTTCCATATGTACCATCATCCCTTATCAACGTCCTTCAGCCATTACCTGGAGGGGCCGCCTCCTGGAGAGAGATGGTGGTTTGGAGTTCTATGCTCACTGAGCCCTAAGTAGCTGAGATAAGACTATTCATGAGGTTTGCCAGATTGAAACAGGACTGCGACCACCCAGTCATTTCACACAGATCCAATATCCTGTCTTCTGACAGTGGCCAGTGCCAGATGCTTCAGAGGGAATGAACAGAACAGGGCAATTTGTTGAGTGATCCATTCCCTTGTCATCCAGTTCCTTGTGTTAGTTTTAAACCTGCTGCCTATTAGTTTCCTTGTGTGACCCTGGTTCTTGTGTTCTGTGAAGGGGTAAATAACACATTGTGGAACTATCTGCCATGACTCCAAGAGCTGTGTTTAGCTGGGCCTGGTTTCCGTGGGTGGCTTTTCCAGGGAGTTTTAAAGGCCCATTCCCAGTGCTGCTGGAAGTGCCGGCAGCTCAGAGCTGAGTGCGTCTGTGCCTGGATTGTCTTTCCCTCCACCCTGAGTGAGAGCAGAGTGAGGGGTTCAGGTTTAGTGACTCCGAGGGCAGCTGGGCCGGGCTGCCCGCTCCCCTTTCACAGTTCAGCCCTGCTGATTAAACGCGGACATTTGCCACCCGGAGAGACTTCTGCTGAAATCGGTGGGGTTTTCACTGTGGAAACAAAGGGCAGGAGTCCGAGGTTTTCAAAGTGCTGGTGAAAGCAGCCCTGGAGACTGAAGCCCTGGGGATAAGTTCGACACAGCTGGTGACAGTGCTGGCTTCCCCCACCCCAGTCCCTGCCCATGTGCCCCCGCCCTGCCCCACAGGGACCAGCCCCGAGTAGTGAAACAGAAACTCAGCCTCCAGCCCTGGGAGGGGAGGGTCCTCAGCTGGTGTCAGTCAGCACAACTCCATTGACATCCATGGGCTCTGTGCCCGCCCCTCGGCTGAACGTACCAATAACAACGCTTGTTAGATAGGTGGCTTTTTCAGAACGCGGGCACCCGTCCGCTGGGATCTGTGGGTGCTGAACACCAGAAAATCTGTCCCTTAAAAAAAAACAAAAAAACAAAACAAAAAAAAGCCCCTTCCCGTGCCTCAGTTTCCCCACCTAGGAAATGAGGAAATGTACATCATAGGGCTCGCGAGCTGGTATGGTGATGGGGGCCGTATAAAGGTGAGAATGTGCCACTTTCTCTCAAACATCAGTGGGGACATGTAATAACGGGGCCTACAAATGTAAACTAATCATGAGCTCAGCTGTGAGGAGTCAGTGAAATATTGATTGGGCCAGGGAAAATGCAAGACTCCCTCTGTAGCCCAGTGATTGGGGCACTAACCTGAGAGGTGGTAGATCCCGGCCTGAACCTTTCTTTACCCTCGCCACAGGCACCTTGAATGGGGGGTCTCACCCACCCCCATCAGGGTCAGTTGGGTGTCAGGGGCCGTCACCTCTGCGCCCCGTATCCATTGACCTTCCTCCCATCCACCTCCAGGGGAACAAGGCCCGGAGGGACAGCCCCGCACCCCACCCTGTAAACCAAAAACCCGGAGTCTGGAGCATTCAGTCCCCCCACCTCCCCCTCCCTTGCCTGGGAAAGCTGCCCCTCGTCCGGCTGGGTCTCTACCCAGTCAACCCTCTGTGGGCTCGGTCTGTCCCTGAGCCTGGGGCACTGGGCCCGTATGTGGCCTTTCTGGCCACAGTGATAGCAGCCTATGTCCCGTGGGTCCCCTCGAGCGGGTCGAATGGACCTGATGCTGGATGTTCCCCTTTGATGGGGGTTCTCCATATTTCCCCGCTAGGAGGTCCCATGGTGACTCTCGCTCTGCGTTGTGGTGGGACTGTTCCTTTGGGACTCCTCCCGGTTATCCCCTGCCCGACTGTTCACAAACTCGTCGGCCAGCTGGCCTGCGTGCTGCGGGTTCTCTAGCTTTCGGTCCATCAACCATCGCCTCAGGTCGGATGGGCACTGTTCATACACGTGCTCCAGTACGAATAGGTCAAGCAGGTCCTCTTTAGTTTGGGCCCCAGCTGTCCACTTGCGGGCATACCCCTGCGCCCGGTTGGCTAGTTGTAGGTATGTGACCTCATGGGTTTTACGCTGACTCCGGAACCTTGTCCGGTACATCTCAGGGGGTCAGCCCAAACTCGCGGAGCAGGGCCCTTTTTGAACAGTTCGTAGTCCCCTGTCTCCGCCCCTTTCAGTCGGCTGTACACCTCCCTGGCTGTGGGGTCCAGTGAGGGGATGAGAAACTAGAGCCTGTCTGCAGGGTCAATTACGCTGGGCCAGGAAGCACTTATCAAAGCTCTTTGCAGTCTTGGGTCCCCCCTCGCTCACCACAGCCGGAGCCCCACTGCTCCTCAGCCTGGCCAGTTCCAGCTCATGCTGACGTTGTTTCTCCTTCTCTTCCTGTTCCTGCTTCAGTTCTTGCTGCCTTAACTCGAGCTCTTTCAGTCTCAGTTCCCTGTCATATTCCAGTTGCATCCGCTCCGCCGGGACGATCCCCTGCTGGCCGCCGGGGTCAGGGTGCCCTCGGTATTCGCTGGGCTTCCCCCAACCCCTCCCCAAGGCATAGGTAGGCAGGGTCTCGGGATGTCCTCCCTCCCAGCCATGTCAGGCCCCGGGGCCCACGCTGCATCCGCCGGGTGTCTTCCCCCAGGGACCGGGCTCGGTCCATCCAAGCGATCCCTCTCCTCCAGCTGGGCAATGAGCTGTTCTTTGGTGGACCTCCCAATGCGCAGCCCCCTCTGCCTGCACAGCTCCACCAGGTCGCTTTTAAGGCATTTAGCATACATCCTCCTGCTGGCCACTCGCCGGCCTGTGCTCTCCGCTTTCCAGGGGGACCCCTAGTGTGCCAGCCCTTCTTCAGGTCACCACCTCTCTGCCAGGGTCGAGCTGCAGACTCCTCCGCCCTGGGACTGCTCGCTGCGATCCCCCGGGGGACCCTGTTACTGCAACAGTCCTTCTCTCTGGTCACACACTCCCAGGGGTTAATCGCCCCCTGAACTGTCTCTCTCTGACTCTTCAGCCCACCTGGTCCCCATCGATCCCCCTTCGTTTTACTACTCCCCAGCGCCGTCCACGGGGTGCAGTAGATCCCACCTCTGCCACCAGTTGTCACGGAGAGTGAGGGGACACCAGGCCCTGCACCCCCGGCTTCCTGCGATCCACCATGACTCTCAGCCAGCCAGTAAAGCAGAAGGTTTATTTAGATGACAGGAATACAGTCCCAGACAGGGCTTGCAGGCACAGACAACAGGACCCCCTCAGTTAGGTCCATCTTGGGGTCCCAGGGGCACCACAGCCCCGTTGGGGGGTTCAGAGCCCTGTCTGGGCTCTCCTCCATTACCAGCCAGCTCCTGACCAACCTCAACTCCCCAGCCTTTGTTCCGTTTCCCGGGCAAAGGTGTCACCTGGCCTCTAACCCCTTCCTGGGTTATCACGTTACATGCTCCGGTGTCTTCCCTCAAGGCCAGTCTCCCATCCCCCAGTGCAGACCGTCCTAGCCAACTTCCCCTGCCTTCCCAGCCAACACTCCCCACTCAGCATTCAAAGACCACATTAAGAACAGTCCCAGTTCGTCACACACGCCCCCGACAAGGGAGCCAGCTAGGAATGGGGGGAAATGGCATGAATCTTGGGAAGCGAGAACCCAGGCGTTGTGGCTCCCTATTCCCCCCACCACCCACACAAACAATGACACCAACCCAGAGTCTTTCAGCATCTTTATTTATAAAAATAGACGGAGTTTTCCCTTTCGTGCAAAACCCAAGAGTTACAAATAGAATTGAAGGGTTTACGGGGTGAGGAAGGGGGAACAGGACCACAATGCCCTGCACCAACAGCAGGCACTCTGGTGGGTTTAAACTGTATGGGGGTGGTGAACCCAGGAGTCCTGGCTCTAACCACCAGAGCTAGGGAGGGAGCCTGGGCTCCCAGTTTCCTATGCATGGCACGGGGAGGAGGATTCCTATGGGAATGACTCTCTTCCTCCCCCCCAGTACAGGGGCTGGGGAGTGAACCTCCAGAAGGAGCTGCTCCAGCCCGTGCACCCCCCCCCGCTCATGAGCGCCCCTCGCCGGCCCAGCGGAAGAAGTCGCAGCGGGCACGGGGGTCGTTGGGGCGCCCTGGGGGCTGGGCACAGACGTAGAAACGCCGCCCGCGGTTGGGGCCGGGTTTGCGGACGGTTCGCAGGGCGCAGGGCTCCCCGTGGGCCGGGCAGCAGGGCGGGGGAGCCGGGCCAGGCAGCACCGCGCGCCAGCGGGCCGTGCTGCTGGGCTGGGTGCCCGCTGCCTGCCCCATCGTCAGCTCCCTGGGCACCATGCCATTGCAGGGCTCCTGTTGTCCGCCCTGCCCCAGTGCATCCTGGGCTGGTTCCTGTGTCCCGTGCCCTGAGGCATTCTGGTCCGACTCTTGTCCGCCCTGCCCCGGTGCATTGTGGGCCGTGCCTGTCCCCAGCTGGCCCTGTGCGGCTCTGAAATAGCTCAGCAGGTCCGCTTGCCCCCTGGGCGGGCGTCTCTGCCTCAGTGCAGAGCACCCCGGTCCCGCCCCTGCCCCTCGACACGTCCCGCGGCCTCCCGCGGCCCCCGCTCCCCGCTCCACCCTGACCAGGAACCGGCTGAGCTTCTGCTGGGTGCCAGCGAATTCGGGCATGTGGCGGGTGCAGAGCGGGGGGCAGCGGGGCGCTGGCAGGAAGGTGGCCGCCAGCTCAGCCAGCACGGGGCAGTGGTCAGAGCCGGGCACCTCGGGCAGGACGCGGGCGTCCCGCAGCTCGGCCAGCGCCAGGGCCCGGTCAGCCAGGACATAGTCTAGCCGTGTGCCATGGTTGGTGAGCCGGGCACCGGTGTCGATGCGCCAGCAGGTGAAGGCGTAGGGCTGGCTGGGGTGCAGGAGGTGGAAGGTGTAGACGAAGAGCCCCTGCCCGTCTGGCGCCCACAGGAACCCGTCCAGCCAGCGCCGGCCTGGGTGCTCCCGGAACACCTCCTGGGGAAGGGAGAGGGGAGAGTCAGTATCCGGGAGAACCCAGGAGTCCTGGCTCCCTGCACCCCCTCCTAACCACTACACCCCCCTCCCCTCCCTGAGCTGGGGACAGAACTCAGGCGTCCTGGGTCCCCACCAACCCCCCAGATTAGAGGGGGGACCCCCCTGGGCACTAACCGGGTCCCCTGGCTCACAGTGGTCGATGGGCCGATGCGATGTGTTGATGTCCCCCAAGATCACGACGTGGCTGGAAGACAAAAAATGGGGCTGGGGGGGGTCAGGAGTCTGGAGGGATGAGCCCAGGCAGTGAGAGGACGGGGGGGCAGCACCCCAGATGTGGGGGAGGTCTCTAGTCCCAGGAGGGGTGATGGAGAGACAAGACCTGGGTGGGGGGGTCACAGGGAGATGGGGGGGCGGCCTGGACCCTCTGGCTTCAAGAGGTGTTTGGGTTGATGGGGTCAGGGGAGATTGAGGGGGGATACGAACCCCATCTCTCAGCAGCGCCTTGGCCCATGTTGGGGGGTGTCGGGGATTGGGGGGGGGCAGGGTACGTACCCGCCGTCTCTCAGCAGTGCCTCGGCCCGGCCCTGCAGCAGCCGGTAGAAGGATGCCTGGTAGGCGGCGCGCTCGGGGCGCTGGGGGTCGGCCCGAGGGCAGTACACATTGATCACCGTCAGGGTGGTCTCCTGCTCTGCCGACGTCCTGTGGGGGGAGAAGGCAGAAAACACATTGGGGGTGTGTGTGTGTCAGGCTGGCATCTGCCCCCCCCCAGCACTTGCCAACAACCATCCCCCCACACCTGGTTCCCTGTCCCCCAACCCAGCACTCTGTGGGCACCTGGCCCACGGCTCCTCGCCCCACGATCCTTGGGGACAAGGCCACAAGGCCCCCCCCGCGCCCCTCACCGTATGCGGTGGTGGGTGTCACCGCGCGCCCCTCGCTGTCCAGCGCCTTCAGCTCCTGGGGCGTGAAGGCCCCTAGGTCTCCGTAACAGCCCACGGCGCCGCCCTCCCCGGGCCGGGCCAGCGGGGTGGCACTGTCCTTACAGAAGGTCGCCACACCTGGTTAGGGGGAGAGAGAGAACCCAGGAGTGGGGTGCCAGCCCCAGCTCTGGGAGGGGAGTGGGGGGCTGGTGGTTGGAGCAGTGGGGAGCCCGGACGCCTGGGTCCCGAGCCGCCCCCGTTACCTGAGTAGCCGCCCCGGGTGCGGCAGAAGCTGAAGTAGGAGTTGAAGTAGATGGTCGGGGGACCGGAAGGAGACTAGAAACTCTCAGAGCTCCCGCTTCCGAGCCTTGGCCCGGCCCTGTTGCATGGACACACCCCTCGGGTGCCTGCTGCCAGAGCCCCGCCCCCATTTGGCCATGCCCCATGGGGGTAGCCCCTCCCCCTCAGAACCACGCCCCTTGCTAGTAACGCCGACTTTATTGGGCTCTCAGGCCCCTTCTCCTCCTCAGGGTTGAGGAGACTTGAGTCACGTCCCTGGTGAGGACCCTAGGCTATGCATTAAGAAGGGGAGCCTTCTTCTCCTAGCTGGTTTGTGTAGTTCCAGGCAGCTGCTGCGTATGCTTACCGGACAGGGCCCCACAGGCGAATCAGGCAGAGAGCACCTATCATTCCCTGGTTTGTGAATCACGGGCATATCTCTGAGAGCAGGGCAGGGCTTGCCACCTGCTCTCCCATCAGCACCTTGCCTGCTGGCTTTGTGGATCACATTCTTAGTCGCCTTTCTCTCCCCATGCCTTTTATAGGGCACCTAGGTTCCTAGCTCAGGCTTCGGGGATCACGGTGTGCCTGTGATTTTCTAGGCACCTAAAAGTTAGGCAGTGCAATGCTCATTCCTTTTGTGAATCTAGCGCTTAGCTGCTCTGTGCCTCAGTTTCCCCATCTGTACAATGGGGATTATCAGACCGCCCTGCCTCACAGGGGTGTTGTGAGGAGAAATACATTCAAGGACATGAGGGTTTTGCTGTGATGGGGGCCCTATAAAGACCAGGGAGAGGTGGCCAGAACCCACTGATTTAGGGGGAAACTGGAAAACAAAGGGGAAACCCATGTTGTGCTCGGTTTGACCATGTGTGAATAATTACACAAGGTGCCGGGATTTCAGAGACTCCAGCCCAGAGATGCCATCGCTCTCGCAGTAATTGTCCGCATCTCTCGGTGAAGCTCCCGTGACCTCGTCAGCCACCGCCCAGCATAACGACCTTTCCTTCTCGCCACCCTTCCCCATTCCCCTGCGGATCTCAGCGTCTCCTTCCGCTGCGCGTTCGACACACACAGCCCGCAGAGAAGGAGAACAAGAGGGTAGAGAAAAATCAGACAAAGGAGACGTCCTCCCAGCCCAAGGCCCGGGCAGACGAGACAGGCCTCAGCTGGAAACACGGCCTGTTCCAATTGTCACACCTGCGGATCAGCGTCCATCCTGAGCACTGCCCTCCAGCGCTGCCTTTTCTCTTGCATGATGGGGAAGCTGCTTCATTAGCTCCAGGATGGCCAGAGGCTTCCTGTTATGTTACAGAACAGCAGCTCCTCAGAGGAGGTCACTTTACACGGTGACACTCACCTCTCCGGGCCCTTTGCAATAGGTTCTTAGGCATGACTGAGCAGCACGGGATCCTACTAGGAAAAGAGGCTGCGAGGCAGCGTGGTTGGGTGTATGGAGCCAGACCCTCCGTTGGTATAAAGCAGGAGAACTTCATTGGTGTCACTGGCGCTGGGCTGATTTCCACCAGCTGAGGATCTGGCCCGTCGTTACCAGGCAGGGCAGTCGCTGGTTCTGATCCACGTTAGGCTGGCAGTGAAGAGAGTTTTGGCCCAAATCTTCCGAAGTGGCCACTGGTTTGGGGAGCTCTTCTCTTTTCTACGCCCAGCTGAGATTCCTGCAGGCAGCTTTTCAGAGGTGCTGAGCACCAGCGGCTGCTGTAGGAGCCAAGTGGCGTTGTGAGTTGTGAGGGCCCAGCACCTCTGCAGCTAGCTCCAAGGTATAGCAGGTTGGATACCCAGAAACTGGGACGCCCACAAAGCGGGGGCCCTTGGGGGACATACAGGGCTGAGGGGTTATCAGCTTGCTTCTGAGCACCCAGAATTCCTATTCATTTCCCCTTTGAAGAAGAGGCCAGAGGATGGAGGATGACCTGTTTCTTTGAGTTCAGGCCACGGGGCTGTTTAGGAGCAGTCAGAGGTGACTAGGGACACTGGGTGCCTAACTTGAGACCCTGATTCTCACCCCCCCCATCCAAAAAATTAGACCCCTTTAAGGAGAGCCAAGCTGGGCCTCAGAAAATGGAGGCATCTGAAATCACTGGGCCCGGCTGAAGATCTTGGCTAGGAGGATGAGGGGTGTCATCTCGTGAAGGCCCCAGCAGTCCTGGCAGGTAGCACGGTGCAGGCCGAGAACGGGGGGCATCTGTTGTGGTGTTTATCGGCCACATTGCAGCCTATGCTCATGCTGTGCTAACTAGCCCGTATCTCCAAGTTGTGGTGATTTACTCCACAAAGTGGGTTCTCGTTCCCTCTAAAATATCCTTCTCTCGGTCACATGTGACTGGAGCAGATTTGGTTTTGCTGAAGTGTTTCTGCCTAATTCCATTCATCCAGTTTCCCCTGGTCTGTTTTCCCCTCGGAGTGAATAATTAGCCCACTTCTTTGCTCACTACCCTGCCTTTCCCAGGGCGGCTGAAATACCAGCTTCCCAAACGCTGGCCTTTGGTCCTGCCTGCTCCAGGCCTGAGCGCATCCCCGGCCTCCTACAAGCCAGTGCTCAGCACACGCCAACACCGGCTGCTTTCGGCTACAGGGTCTCTGGGCGATCGGCACAGAGCGACTTCTCCTGGCCATGAGCAGAGCCGTTCTGGCTCCTCACAGCTCACACGGGAGGTTCACCTGGCAGAGTCGCTACCGACAGGCTACGAGGATCCCAGCGTGAGTCCCCACTGCAGCACCAGGCAGATAGCACACTCAGAGCACGGCATGGGACGGGGGACTCCTCCAGGAGCTGGCTGAGGGCCTCCTGGTACCCCCAGCTGCTGTAACAAACGCTAGCAGGGGCTCTCAGCAGAACTTGAGCCTGCTACCTTCAGATCCATAGCGCAGACCTCTACCGCCTGAGCTGAGGAGTAACTCCATTCGCTGGTAGTAGGTTGTTATCCTCCAGGTGGACCAGCCGGCCCAGGTGTCCATCCCTGTAACCTCTGGGTCTCAGGAGGCAGCCCCCATTGACACAGAGACCCTGAACCCCAGCACTGCCGCCCTTCCCCCGTCTCTGCTCAGCCTTCCTCAGGAGCGTCATGATTATTTGTGCTACATGAGCACCCGTAGCTGAACTGAGAGCAGGGCCCCGTTGTACGAGGCACCACGTCCGCAGACCAAGAGCCAGCCCTTGCCTCAAAGAGCTGACAGTCCACGTAGACGAGACAGCGACAGGATGGGAGACGGGAAGGATCATCACCCCCATTTTACAGCTAGGAAACTGAGGCATGGAGAGACGCATTGGTCCATCTAAGGGCACCCAGGGAGGCTGTAGCAGAGCCAGAAATGAACCCAGATCTTAGGTTACCGCCATATCCACCAGACTAGCCTTCCTCGCTCAGCCAGCAGGGAATAAAGTTCTGTTCCACATGATGATTGGCAGCAGAACCTGGCCCTGCCCCATTGGCTACGCTGGAGTTGTTTCTAAGTCTAGAAAACCTGTGGAGCTCCTGGGCTTCGGGTGCAGCTCAGTTTGGGCAGGAAGCGTAAATAGGCAGGTCAGTGATTGGTAAAAACTGCCTCGAACTCCACAGGCAAGTGCTGCTGCTCCGCAGAGTCTTGGCTCTGTTGGGGGGTTGAAGCCAAATTGGCTGTTCGTTTTCAAACGTGGAGTAGGGGGGACGGCTTCTCCAGCTGGCAGCGCTGGGCAGTAGCCAGGTTTGCTGCTGGTGGGGACGCTCAGGGCACTTCTCTGCAGAGCACAACGACCACAAGAGGTGCTGTTGACTGCAGATTTCTTAAAGCTCATGTGGAATAAGATGGAATAAGACGTGGCAGTGGGGATAAGGTCCTTGTGTCAGCACAGAGGCTGCCAGTTGGAAGATGAACAGGCCATGCAATGTAGCGGGTAGGGCGCTGGCCTGGGACTCGGGAGGCCTGGGTTCTACTTCTGGCCTGCTGGGTAACCTCATGCAAGTCCGGTCAGCTCCCTGTGCCTCAGTTTCCCCATCTACAAAATGGGGCTAATGGGACAGGCCTCCTTTGTCAAGCACTTTGAAATCTACTCATGAAAAGTGCTATATAAGAGCTAATGATTGTTAGTCTAATGGCCAAAGCCACAGTCTTATAAAGATCCAAAAATAACACAGCTTACAAAGTAGCTATGAAAAGACTAATGAAGGGCAGATGGAAGGCTGATACCGCTCTGGGGAGGGCAGAGTTAAGGGTGGTTGGGTGTCCCCACTATCGGGGACAGAGGTAAGAGTGGATGGGTGGTGTTGCTACTGGGGAAAAGAGTTAAGGGTGGTCAAGTGGTGTTGCTACATAGAGGGGCAGAGTTAAGGGTGGTCAGTTGGTGCTGTTATGAGGAGTCAGAGTTAAGGATGGTTGGGTGTTTTAATTGTGTTTTCCATACTTTCTCATGTCTGGGTTTTCTTTTAACCAGAAGGGCCAGATTCTCCTCTCACTGACCCCATTGTAAATCTTCAGTCACTCTATTGCAGTTAATAGGGTTGAACGGCCATTGTTCACCTAACAGCACCTGGTGGGAGATTTGCACATATATTCCTACCCGGAGAGAAACCTTTGCACGCCCCGTTAATGGATTATTAAACCCAGGCTGCTGCCCCTCGGCCGCTCCCATGCCCCGTCTCTCCTGCTGACTCTGCAAAATCCTCTCCTCAGCAGAAGGAAAGCTCTCCAGCTTGGTGAGTCACCAGCACTCCACTGACTTCAGCAGATTCCTACCAGCACAGGATCTGGCCCCCATGTTCCCAGCGTTGATTAAATATTGACAGCGCACAACCTGCAGCAAGACTTTTCCACGTGGCGAGACCACCGGGGAGTTCAATGGCATGTGGGTGGAATCAGATCCTCACATGCAGCCCTGCCGCCTGACCTGTAACTTTCAGGGTAACCTGCATCTTCTCTCCCTCCCCACACTGCAAATCAGCAGTAATGTGATTGTCGTCACACTGGGGTGAAGGAAAGGAGAGTAACACCCGATGTAGGTATCAGACCAGCTATTGCCGGCCCTGCATACAGCTGAATTGTCATTTGGCCAAATGTCTTTCCACCCGCTTCTGTGTGGTCCCTATGTCAGGGGAATCTGCAGCTGCCTCTTTGGGTGTGTCTACACTGCGCGCTAAACCCAGACTCTGACTCAGGTTTGAGCCCAAGCCCCCCCTTCTGCCCACACACAAATCAGTCAGACTCAGGCCAGCAAGCGCTCAGGACCCGGGTCCCAGGACCCTGCTAGGGGTCAGGTCAGAGCCCACGTCCTGTCCAAGTCTTGTCATTTTGCAGTGTGGATGCAGTCCGAGCCGCAGAGCCGAGGCAGAAGGTCTGCACAGTGCAGTAGGAACACGCTGGCATGGCTGTGTGACCCGGGCCCAGCAATTGTAAACCCAGGTTTACAAAGCAGTGTGGACAATCAAACATGGGCACAAGCCTGGGTCCCACAGACCTGAGCAGAGTGCGCAGTGTAGACATACCCAGTGCCAGCTTTCCGTTCCCTTTGCAGAGGACACTCCCCTTGAGCTGAGGATCTGTCCCACTGATGTCACTCACCCAGGGTTTTATTCTCCCCTCCGTCACACAAGTCCTGTGTCAGTGTAACCCTGTGGCCTGCAACGGAGTCACTCATTATTACATCGCTTACCTGGGAGGAGACTCCCTCCAGTACTAGCCGGGGGTGCTGCTGTCCAAAGTGCTGGAGTTTTCACAAAGACTTCGCGCACCCACTGAGAAATGCTTAGAGATAGGCTCAAAGTCTGGAGTTCAGCTGGCTCTGTATCCTGCCTTGGACATTGGCCAGTACAAGTTGCTGCAGAGGAACGGGTAAGAAACCCCACAGTGGACAGATGTGGGGTAAACCTATGCAGGGGTTAGAGAGAGGCTCAAACCCTGGAGCAGCTTGCTTGTCAGCGCTCGGTGGCCATTCTGGTCAATGTTTTGATGCTATCCCTGTTATTTTTCTCTCCACCGACCTGTGAATGACTTGGCAAATCAAATGTCCGGGTTCAGTTTCCTGCAATTTTGGGGTTCACGTCCTCAGTAACGTGGGCGCGTTCAGAAGAATCACACCTGTGTCTTGTGCTTTAGCCTTGCGAATTACTCAGACTGGAAAGTGCTTTATTCACCTCTTCCAAAAGTTTCCATCAGCCAACCAGACAGCAGAAGCCATCCCATGTGACTGGGTGGCCAATCACATGCAGCAGCTAGTTCACAGTCCTCTTAGGAGACGAAGCTTTTTCATTCTGACTTGTGGGTGAATATATACAAACCACAAATGCAACCACAGGAATCAGGCTTCAATACAGGAAGACAGTGTGGCCTAGTGGACAGAGCACTGCACCGGGCTCCCAGAGTCCTGGTTTCTAGTCCTAGCTTGGCCACTGACCTGCTGGGTGACCTTGAGCAAGTTACTTTTCTGTCCTGTGCCTCAGTTTCCCCATTTGTAAAATGGGGGTGATGATTCTGACCCCCTTTGTAAAGCGCTTTGAGAGCAATGTCTGGAAAGTCCTAGATAATTTTATTAATGTTGTTTGTAGGCGCTGCAAAGGCTTTCCCGCATCTTGCTCTTAACAAGTTGGCCATGGATAGTTCAGTGGTGGTGGTGAAGCTAGCTCCGATACCGTGCTAAGGGATCTGGGGTGAACAGGAGCATTTCAGTGTCCCGAGTGGTCAAACCAATTTACAACAAAAAAACCCGGAGAACAAATAATGGGCAAACAAAGCCTTTTATTTTCACATATGGGCTTTAGTGCACAGCTAAATCTTTTGTTCTGCACCTCCGTCCCAGAAGAATTAATTGGCGGTGGAGCACTGCCAGCAGTTTTCAGTAATCATGGCTATATATCCAGGTGCTTTGGGGAACTGAAAAAAAAATCAGACACCCCCCCTGCATGTGTGCCTTGCTGACCTTTGGGAGATGCTTACAAACATAGTGATCTCTGGTGATAACTGGCTGGTGGCCCACTGAACTGCCCTCCTCCTGTGGGAGAGGGTGGGTGCCTGCATATCCCTGTTTGAATTGCCATTCAGCCTATAAGCCCCAGATGAGATCAGGAGCTCCCGGTGCATCCACACAGCGAGTGACCCAGTCATTGCCCCACAGAGCTTGCAGTCTAAGTGTTGGGGAGCGGGGCGTGGGCAGTCTGACTGTCTGATATCAGTTTCCAAGAGTACTTCAAATATTCGACTGGGATAAGAGGTTAAAAATGAGACTGATCAGTGGTAGCTGTTATTTAAAGTCATGCAAGAAGAATAAAATCACTGAATAAGAGACAAACTTTTCTCAGTGACATGGAAAAACCTGTGAATATTCCGTTGCTCATCTGCGGACCTCCATCCAAAGAAACCCCAAATTACCAAAGGACCTGCTGTCAAATGTTTTTCAAGAGCCCCTTCCCCAAGAGATGGGACTTGTTTTAAAAACTGCCTTCAGTGTTAGGGATGTAATTAATGGAGAATGCAAGTGCTAGAAATTAAGGGGCCGATCTTCAGTGCCAAGACCAACAACTCCCAATGAGTTGGGTGTCTAACTGCTACCCTTTATGCCTTTGAAAACATCCCCCTAAATGTCGAGCTATTAGATTGGCCACACAGGGTAGGTGGCTAGACATTTAGCTATTAACAAATTGTGCCCACAGTTTTTTTTGCATTTGCAGTTCATTCTTCGTCTGCTGCAATTATTCAGTACTCCCTATCTGAAATGTGAGCGATGTGGATTAGCTGATCACTCATGCGTTGGGGAAGGGAAGGATGAGGAGCAGTTCTCCTCTCCACATTCAGCTGGTGGGAGCCATTGCTTGAAAGCCTGATTATTATACGGATAGTCCCTCTCCCCAGCCCAATCCCCAAACCACTTCCTTGTCTCAGCCTTCCCTATTACGCCTGGGCCCTATGAAATACACCACCCTGGGCCTCAGAAATCCCCTGGCTCGAAGGCCTTCCGAGCTCCCCCTACTCCTGATCTTGTTGCCCTAAAC